TATTACTTGAAATAAAATAAAGTTGTTAAGGGGAAGTAGAAAATTTTGCTTTATACAATTCCCGAATCAAAAGAGTTGTGAAGATGCAGTAAAGGCAGTTATGATATGTGTTTGCAGTTCTTTTATTATTAAGCATAACTTAAAGTCAAACAACAATATAAGTATTGAGTCCCTAAATATAGGCTTCTACTTCTTCATCCTAACTGAGATTGTGTCCAATGGGAAGTTTTTAGAATATATTGTCTGACATTACGTGAGAGTAAGTGAATCAGAATGTATCATTTCTATATTAAGCCAGAGAAGATCGTAAAGCATGCAAAAGATTGAAAATCATAAAATAGGCAAAGTATAATTGATTTAAGAAGGAACCTTGATAGCACAAGTGGTTTGCAAACAGTAGCTAGTGGAAACGTAGCACATCAAAGCCACCCAGTGGCTCTGCAGAAGAAAGGTCTGGCTACCTGTTTCTGTACAGATTATCACCAATAAAACCTTAAGGAGTGCATTTCTGCTCTTTAACACATGGATTCACCATAACTTGTGATCTCACTCAATGAACACTAGCACCAACAATGACAACAGTTTACTTAGATCATACCCAAAAAAGAGAGAAGAATATGTATTAAAATTGTTTGGAAATAGGGCATAAATGAAGACATAGTTATTTGGATTATATTGAGTGCTAAAGGAGTTTGGTGATGATTAATCGATTTCCTAGTTGTCTCCATGGTATCTTTGTTCCTAAGGCTGTGGATAAAGGAAGATGTTAATTCCTGAATCACAAATGTGATCACTATTACAGATATAACAATGTCGTATGATAAACTAAATCAATGGTAGTTGTGTTCTTTACAATGTATTAATTTTCACAAAACTCTATAAGGTTCATATATATATTGTCAAATATAAAAAATGACATTGAATGATTCAATAATTTTCCAAGACAAACAAAAATTAAGTGGTGAAGGCCTAACTCGAATCCAGGCCTAGAAACAGAACATGGGTAAAAACTGTAAAAACAAACCCTTTCTGTCAAGTCATTTCTGACTTATAGTGATCCTATAGGACAGAGTAGTACTGCTACATAGGTTTTCCAAGGAGTGGCTGGTGGATTTGAACTGCTAGTCATTTGGTTAATAGCTGTAACTCCTGAACACTGTGCCACCAGGGATCCAGAACATGGGTAGTGAGTTAAAATACTTGCATGGGTCTGAAGTAGGAAAAATTATGCAAACTCTTTATGTCCTGGTTTTTTTATCTATAAAATAATATGAGAGCATTAATGGTATGTATATACATACATACATATTATATATATTGTCATCTTTGCCTGTCAACACCCTAATGAAGTCTTTTGCAGCAGATTATGGCCAATGCAATGTGCTGTTTGATTTCTTTACTGCTGCTTCTATGGGTGTTGATTGTGGATC